CAGGGACCGGCCCGGCTCCACCTGCGTTCCCCGGGGCCACGGGCCTTGGGCTGTGCCTGGTCGCGTCCTGCCCTGCCCACCCCCACTTCGCCCGACTCCAGCCGTTCCCCGCGCCCCAGGCAGGGGCTAACAGCAAGGGTGCCATCTCGGCGATAACGCAGAAGGGAAATGAAGCCCAGCTTTCCCGCCACGGTGGGGGACCCCAGGGTTGATTCCCCCACAGCACCAGGTTGAGCCTTGGTGCTGGTTCTCACCAACCCTCGACCAACTGCTGTGGCAGGGGGGGAAGCCTCTGAAGAACACCACAAGCTTTGCTATCTGCCAGCAGACAGCGCAGGGCCACAGGAGGCTTTACTTACAAACTCGGCACCAAGGCATTTCTCCTCCCGTCTCAAAAAGGCTCCATGAAGAGCCAACCACCCTTGTACATTTTTTTTATAGGTTCAACATTTCTACAGAGAATACCACATTAGAAAACATCCACTCAAGTACAACATCAGTAGCAGTGCAGGAGGAAGGTTCAGCATCCAGAGCAGACCAGTAAGAAACAGGAACCACTTGGCGGGAGCACACAGAAGCCTTGAGCTGAGACTTCAGAACCTTCATCTCTCCTTGTTTTGTCCCCAAGTCTGCACTGGTCTTCAGTCCATGAGGTGCAAGGCCTCTTTGTTACAATTACAGCACTCTTGGATTCAGGGAAGCACCGCCCTGCTAAGGTATAACCAAAGCCTGGGCTCCCCCATCCCCCATGCTGGCTTCCTGCTGCGTGGCACCATCACCAGTTTGTCCCTGCTTTGAACCCACAATCCTCACTACCAAACCCCGACCTGCTCTTCTTGCTGAAAGAGCTTTCCTCCTGGATGCAAATGGCAACATCAAAGTATGTTGCTTTGGGCCGTACTATCCAAAATCCTTACTTCGCTCTTGTCTAAAACATTGTATTGGCTGAAAATCCAAAAAAAGCAGCAACACAGAACATGGTCAGCAGTAAAATAAATTAACAGTACAACAGGACAGAACACATTCACAAATGATGGGATTCCTCCACATCCATCCCGTTCTCAGATCAGGCTGGCAGCCTCCACTGGCAAAGAGCAGAGGAACAAATCAGAACCAGCTGCTGCGGTACATGCTGAGCTCCTGTCAGGAAAGATCCGCTTTTGCTCTGACTGTATAGAACAGAGCACACAGGAACAGCCCTGTGCTGTACATAAGTAAAATAAATAACAGCAGGGGGGAGCAGATCATCTTCAGGCATTAGATGATTTGGGGAATGATTACTAAACAGAGTTGATTTGCAGCCTGTGAATGCATAAAGCCATTTCAGCTGTAGCTCCCAATAAAAAGTTCACTGCAGCCTCACAAGCCAGGCATTTGCTTCAGATATTCCAGTTCAATGTAACTGCAAATTAATCCATGCCACTTTGTTTCCCCCCTTAGACTTCATGTATAGGGATATCCTGAAGCTCCACAGCTTAGTGGAGCGACAGTTCACTGAGCCAGGCTTCCCTTCTGACCTGTCCACAGCTCTCGGAGCTCCACTTTGCAGCCGAGATCCCTCAGTGCAGCTTTGGCCACGTCATCACAGTCCCTGTGCGTTGCACGAGCTTCTGTTATCAGGTTCTCAGCTCCCATCTCTAAGATGGGCTGAGAAAAGTCCCGGCTCCGAGAGACCAGGTTGCGGATCAGCATGCAAGCCTGTTTCTGAAGAGAGGTGTAAAGGAGAGATATTAGCATCTTTTGTAGGGAAAGGATGCTGGCACACACAAACCAGACGTGGCTCCAACTAAAGAACCTTTTCTGGGCAACCAAATGTGAGATGCTGTAGACAGCAACAAACTATTTCCTGAAAGAATAAAAATCTATGGACAAAAGTAGGGCTGCTCTTTCACACTGAAGTTTACAAAACCTCCTGCTTCTGTCAGACCACCAGCAAATCTCAAACTTGAACCTGAATTCACATGCATTTGACACCCAAACTAAATTTTGCTCTGATCACACCAGGGTGACAGACGCAGGGAGTCTTGTGTTTAGACGCTGCATTCTCAACACACCTGGAACCTTTCGGTATTTGTCAAGTAAAAGATAAAATCGAACAGAGCCAACACCAATGCTGGATAAATGATAAGTGCTCCGAGGCAAATACCTGTACAGCCACTTCTCGTGGGTGTGCTTTCATAGCCTGCAGAGCTGCCAACGCCCCTCCGCCCTCCATGATGACGTTACAGTTCTCAGGTTTGCGCAAAGCCAACATGCACAAGGCTGCACAGCCTTGCTCACAGATCTGCAAGACAAAGGGGAAGAGACACTCGTTGGCTGAAAACGTTGCTTTAAGGGAAAAAACAGAGGTTGGAATTTGTTTTGTGTTTTTTTAACATTTTTTAAATATTTTTTTTACACTGAAACATCTTGTTTCTCTGGCATGTAAAACACTGTATCCAGGAACAAGAAAAAAAACCTAATATATTGAGGCGGACATAACTTTAAATTTACACAAATATTCACTTAACCACTCTATCACAATTGCATGTTAAAGGTTTAACACACTGCTCAGTTGCAATCATTTAACAACTGTCCTTAGGATGTATCTGCTCTCAGCATAAGCTGCTTATCACAAGTTAGAGCAACACTGTGGGTTGCTCCCCTACACAAGGGATAACGCAGCTGTGTTGTGCAGCCCAAACCTGATCTCCACTCCCAGACCCAGTGGGACCTCATCACCCACTTCGGTGCCTACCTGAGGGTTGGCCAGGTGATGGCTTATAGCGAGCACAATGAGGTCCGTTCCCCCAGCGTTAACGATTGCGTCTTTCACGTCGTCATTACCCGCAACCGCTCGGATGGCGCTCAGCACCTGCTTCACCACGTCCTGCATTCATCAAGAAAAAAAAAAAACAGCTTAGAAAGCTGCAGAGTGAGTTTTACAGACTTTTGAAAGCTAACCAGAATGTCCCCCAGCAACTCCATTCAAGCAGTTGCATTCCCAGTTACGAACAGCAACACTATTCTCAGTCACATCTCAGGCTCACTTTCTTGCTAGAAAGAGTAATAAGGAACCTTATTAGTTTGGCAAAGCTTTTCAAAGAAGCTTAAAGAATCAAATATCAACCTCTGGGACTTGAGCTTTTAAGTCTTCTTGAATCTCTTCTAGCTAGAATGGTGGAAAACCAGCAGCTCAGCTGTCCTGCTCATGGAGGACAGAGGAAGCATCGAAGTGCAAGGGGCTCAAAATTACTCCATTCTTATCTGATAGAGCACCTGTAACCTAGTTCTGTCTATAATGCTGTAAACAGGGAGATAAACAGGGATCAGTGGTTGGGCTTCAACCCTAACAGCACCTAAAATGACACACAGTGCAGGCCCATTCACAGCCAGTTCTTAAAACTTAAAAGCAGGCCCTGCTGCATTCCCTCCTCTCCCAAGCACACTCTATCGCTCACCGGATGGTCAATGCAGTCAGCCAGGAGAGCCACCATGAAATTTAAGCCGCCAAGGTCCACGATTTCTTGGCAGAATTCATTCCTGACAGAGAGGCGAGAAAGGGTGGCGCACAGTTCACTGAGAACGCTGGAGTTGTCTGTGAATGCTGTAGAGGAGAGATGACGAATGGAGTAACTACAAGCAAGGAGGGCGTGCTGCAGAATCAAGGTGGTTTACTTTGCTTCATTAAAAAAAACAAAGAGAAAACAGGAAACTGTATTTCACTTTCTATATAAAACCAGCACAGGTAACACCCTGTTCACTCTGTAGCTAGACTGAGACTGCATATCTTGTCTTGGCAAGAACACAGCACCTCAGCAGGGATAATGTGCCTGCAAACCTGCACTGGGCTGGAAAACAGTTCCTAGATAAATGGACAAACAGCTCTGAGAACTGCCACACTGGTGCTGCTGATAGCGTCTGGAGCAGTCACATTATCTTCCTCTCTCGGGGCACGTTTCATCAAAAGAATTAAACATCATTTTAGTGGCAGATTTCCAAATCACCTCTGGGGAGCTTCAAGTTACGACAAAGCACCGTTCTGAGATAAGAAAGCACAGATGATTCAAAAACAGGATCAACAGTCATGGGGTTTACCTTTTGCAGCTTCAATGAGGACTCGTAACCCATCGTTTTCCAACACAATCATTTTGGCATGATCATGAGCATGACCAAAGGGCACACGGATGTCATCATCAAAAGTCATGACCCTGAGCGCCGAGGCCGCTGTTCGGACGACATCAGCGCTGTCTCCATGCTGGACAATGGCTCCAGTCAGAAGCGGGAGAACCCCACCCTTCACAAAGTCCTGGCGATTCTGCTCGTGTTTCAGACAGGCGTGCCGAATGCATCGGATCCCAGCCAGCGTCATTTCCGCATCCTCCCTATATTCTTTCAGGGTTTGTAGCAGTAGATCCTGGCCAGCGGAGTCAAGTAGGTCTGGCTGTCCATCCAAGATGGCAGCCAGAGTATAAAAAGCTTTCAGCATTAAATTCCTGTCTCCTGAAGCCAACTGGCAGGCAGAGAATACCACAGGATAGGCACCATTTTGCCCGGCCAGGTAGCGGAAAGCCAGCTGCTCTTTGCACTGATCAGTGAAGACCCCCAGCTGCTCAGCCATCTCAGTGAGATCAGAGTCAGCAACAGCTCTCCCAAGGGCATCTAAAGTCTAAAGAAGAGAACATGAGGTACTTGTTGATCCAAACTGTGAAGGAATGAGAACAGTTCTTCATAGTCAGTCAAATTTGTTTATTTATAATAATAGTAATCTTTTATACTTATAATTAGTTTGACATATCTAAGAAACAGCTCTCAAAGAGCAGCATTTTGTCTTCTGCTGTCACTGTATGCCAGTCTGACCAGCAGTGGGTGAACTGGGTCCAACCAGCACATTTTACAGAGGTCAATGGTGGCCAAGAGTATTTTTATATTCTTGCTGGTGAGGGACTGTAGTCAATCTTTTCATCTCCCCCTCAGAGGGGCTAAATAACAGCTTAGGTTCCTTGTATTTCTTTCACTAAAGTTATTCCATGTGACTTTCAGTTTACCCGACCACAGCAGAATCTGCTTTTGAGTTACAAAAGGCAGTCTCTGCATTTCCTAGGCAGGACATGCTGACTTTCTGCACTTACAGATACGTCCACTGAAAAGTGCAAGCTAGCTCTTTGAACATTTATATTATTCCTGGATTGCAGAATAGATGGGATTAACTGCTTGTTGAAGAGCTCGCAGAGACGTGGGACAGAGGCAGAAGTAGAAAGTACATCTCATTATTCTTAGTCTATTACTTAAACTATTATGTAACCCTGATCCTTAGAAGACAAGATAAATTTGTGCTCCTACCAGCAAAATTTCATGTTTTTGCTTTTGACCATTTTCAGAGGCAGGCTGCCGCACAGCTTTCACAATATTGCTGAGGTCAACACCTAAAAGAGAAGACAAAACCAAGATTAATATTAGTTACAAGAGCTTAGGTAAAATTTGTCAAGTTAATCAGAGTGAACAAAGATAAACTTATTGTAAAACGTGGATCAATGCACAAAGATGCTGAAAGGTTGCCAAAGCTCAGGCTAACTATAATGGTCAAATACGTCTTGGAACAAAGCATCAATTCTAGCTAAATGTCAACTGGAAGGGAAAAAAAAAGTTTTCATTCCAAATTCCACCAAATTTCACCCTACAATTAAGTTTCACTTAAAGCAGTTCTCCAGCCATAATTACTCCACAAATCTAGGTTAGCGTTAAGTGGCTATGTTCCACTTCACAATTCAATACTGGATAATCAATCTTTGCATGCAGAATCTCTGAAATGTTGAGATATACAAAACTTCAGTCTGTAATAACCTGAACTGCAAAACCAGATGAATTTACAATACCTTGGGACTCAAACTGCTGCACAGCTTCTCTCACAGCCTCTTCTGGCTCCATTTCAAACTCTGTAATGTTTTCTTGCACTGCATCATCAAATGTTTCCTGTGCAATCTGTTTTGAACCCATTTTACTTGAACGGGATAAACTGCCTCCTTGTCCTGTCATTAAGATAGTCCACAATTAGTTCTGGTGCAAAATATTCTACGGTTAATCAGAAATAAAGGAAGTTACTTGCTCCTTTCCAAAGCAAAAGCACAGAACTTGAAATCAAAAATATGTAGTCAAAAGGATGTTTTGTTTTGCTTTACTAGGGAGAAATATACCAATTAAAAGAAATAAGAAGGCATTTCAGAGGCCGAGGATTTGGATGGGGAAGCCACCGCTGCTGTGCTGCGGGTGGGTGTGTTACCATGACACATCTCTGGCTGCATCTCGCCTGCTGATGGGGCACCACGGGCAGCCTGCGCGGACACACAGGGGCCCGGGAGCCACCACACTCGAGAGCTAACGCAGCCCGGCGCCCTTCGGCCTGCCCCTGTTCCCGCTCCCGCAGCAGGGCCCGGCTCACCCCCGCATCCCCCCCTCAGCAGGCCCAGGAGGGCCCAGCCCCTCAGTCTTTCGGCGAGGCCTGTCCCAGAGAGGGCTCACGAACCGGGCGCAGATACTGGGGGGGCTCCCGGACAAACACAACGAGCCTCGGTTCTCCTCAGGACCCACCTCAGTCCCTCGCTGCCCGCACCACCGCTTCCCGACGGGCTCCTCC